ACCTTTTTTACATGGTCTTTAGGCATAGTCTGTATAGTATACATTATTTTCAATACGCCCTTGTTCTCATCACAGGTGCACATAGAGCAGTATGGTTGGTGATGGACTTACATGCCTAAACTGCCAGCTGCACTAATGTGGTCTAGCAGTACTTCTGTCCCCTGTGTCCCATGATGTAACCTGTCCTCAATTTTTGTTTCCTCTTTTGTTTGTTTAGAGATAATGAATGTAATGAAGACCACCTACTCAATTCAACTTTAAAGTTTTGTTTTTTTTTAGGAGGAAAGGATACAATTCTCAAGGCAGAGGGGCGAGGTTTTTGTTAATGTTATTTTAGCTTTCATAATTAAAGAGCCAAAATAGTAGATTTGGAGCATTAGTGCTTTCTCAGAGGACCTGCCTCAGTATCCCAAGAGATAAATCAGTCAACCTAGGCAGTACAGCAACGAGTCTGGCAACCTGTATGTTGCTCTCTCTACAGGTAGCACTTTCTACAGGATGAGGAAAGAGAGTTCAAGCACTTCCTGGTATAACCATGGTGGTACTAACACAGAGGGTGCTTTACAGAAGAGCCTTTTTTCTTTTATTTTTTTCCCCTGAGAAACTCTTAACACCTTCAACTCAATCTGGATACCACCAGGCAGCCAGGAATTCTCCTGGAATGAATAGCTCACTACTGACAAGCACAGAATTACTTTAAACTTGTTCCCAGGACCTGTGATACTGCCGGGCAGTATAAAGAAGCAAAAAAGCCAAGCTCCTGGCCAAGATTTTGAAAAATGGATTCAGAATTAACTGTTCGGACTTTGGCAGAATGAAGCATCATCTTTTTCTGCCTCGTTTTGAATACTACCTACTGGTTCACTAATTTGTTTTGGCAGGCCAAATAGTTCCACCAGTAACCTCTTTTTTTTTCCTCATTGTGAATGTTCCCCAACACGTCCATGTTCATGTCCGTGCGCATCAACCATTTTTCCCAATCAATTCCCTGGCATGGCTCACGACTGATCAGGGAACATTTCTGGTGGCAGTGCTCCTCATACCACCATGATTTAGAGGCATGATTTAACATTAGGGATACAGACTAACTGTTCGTGCCTACTGCCCTCAATGTCTAAAAAATAATTTTAAAATCCAGATGACAGATAATTTTCCTCACACAGACACAGATTTTACACACTGCCTATCTGAAAATAGGCATTTTATTTTAGTGCTTAGGTTGTAAAAATTCAGACAGGTAGGAGTAGCATACCTGCTCAGAGGCCCTCACTTTCTTTTGAGCCATATTATGCCTAGAGACAGGGAGAGACACCATAGTGTTAAAAAGCCCCAGGCTGTAGTTCTGACTGGTGGAGAGCATATCCAGTGCAGGAGCCAAGAGCCTCCCATCATCTGCTGTTTCCTCCACAACATCACTGCTGCTGCTGTTCCATACCAGAAAAACAAAAACTAAAACTTTGCATGGAGCAAAGTTCTACCTTAATGTCCAGATAAAGCCAGGAAGGAAAATGAGGAATGTGTTCAATTTGGGTGCAGCTGGGGAATTACTTCTATAACAAATTAGCTTTTGAATGAGGAAAAAGGAGTTAATGGAGTTTTTTCTATTCTATTATCATGTATTTTTTCCAGAGTCAAGATTTTCATTTCTCAAGGAATCTTCATAGAGAATTGCTATTTAATATGTCCACTGGAGCATCAAATGTACACATAGAAGCAGATGAAATTGTTTATTTTTTTACAGTTTTTGCTAGATTCACTATGAAAAGACATCTGTTCTATAAGAATTATCAGCTGCTACACATTTTCTATGTTTGAATTTGCCAGCTGCAGGATGAGCAAGCCAGTGAATAACCATTTTATTGTCTGTGTGTCCTCAGTACACCTATAAATTGTAGCTCCTTAGGGAATGTGTGAAGGTGAGGAGACAAAATTGTGGTTTAGCTAATTTGCATGCAAAGAACTGACTAATGTCCATGGCTTTAGCAGGGCACGGATGACCAGGTGAAAATATTCTTAAGCATCAACAGCTGGGCAAGTACGCGATTTTTTTTTCATCTTTCAACAAAAGCAGATCCCCCTACATAATCTGGTAGTGATTAAGTACAACATAAACTCTTCTAAAGGACCCTGATAACAAATTAGCATATACTTGAGAAGCATAAAGTCATCAACAGCTGAAAAAATATTAATGAGCACTGAAGAGTAGTATGTCTCCACAAAAGAAGATATTAAAAAATGGAGTAATAGTTTGCTTTTTGGAGCTTAGTCCTACCAAACTGCATTAATTCAAAGCTCTTTGACAAACTTAATCTAAATCAATTTTTTTCTTTCTTGAGTATCCTTAAATTTGCCAGGCTTTAAAAATAAGTTCTAGGATGGATGTATACAATCCTTAGGCAAGGAGAATGAGGAAGTGGTCTTTCATACTTATGGGACTGCTGTCTAGTATTTAAACCTAACTGTTTTCCCATCTCTTGGTTTTGATGGAGTAATACTATAAAGCACAGCAAGCCAGGGTTTGAGAAGTAAAACCATAATGATATATTAATCTTTGCTTATAGTATAGTAACATTTCATTTGAGATGGGACTGTTAATGCTGTGATTTCTCTGGAGATGAATGACAACCCCTGTGGCAAGCCCGGAGACTGGGTCAGAGAAATGAACTGTAGCAGTGCAAGTTGCCCCTGTAGGTATGGTGAAAAAAATGGTTTAGAGAGTCAGATCGTTTAGAATGCAGAGAAACTCCTGCTAAGACTAAGCATGGAGAAGATGAGGCTGGGCCATCAGAGGAAGAGGAGGATGAAGATGTCACAAAAACAGCAGTAACAACCTGAACCCTATCCCAGCATGAGCTATGAGATATGTGAAAAGATTTTGGTCGCTGCATAGGTGAGCAGCTTGTCACCTGGCTGCTCCAGTGCTGGGACACCAGAGCCAATAGTCTGGAATTAGAGGGCAGGGAAGCCAGGCAGCTGGGATCCCTTGCTAGAGATGCAGGCATTGACAAAGCAATTGGAAATGGAGCACCAGGCTAGAGCCTCTGGAGGTGTCTCCTATCAGCTGTGAAGGAAAGGTCTCTCTTCAAGGAAGACCATGTGTGTCTACCAGGCAAGTGGACCATTATGGAGAAGGGAATCCAGTACCTGAGAGAATTAGCCATACGGGAGGTGATTTATGAGGACCCAGACAATGGACAAATATCCCCAGATCCAGATGAAGTCAAGTGTACACAACCCATGTGGCGGAAGTTTGTACAGAGTGCACCATCATCATATGCCAGCTCATTGGCAATAATAACCTGGAAAGACCATGAGGAACCCACAGTGGATGAATTGGCTAAACAAGCCCAGCAGTACAGAGAAAGTCTCTCCTCTTCCCTACAGGCCTGTGTCTTGGCTGTGGAGAAACTTTCTGAAGAGTTCCACCAACCTAAATAGAATTTATTTTCCTCCCCACCTGTACATAGCAGCGTCTCAGCTATTGGGGATAAGCGTCCTTCTGGACAAGGAAGACGATATGGTAGATACACAGCCCATGACACCCTGTGGTTTAACCTACGTGAGTGACCATCAAGAGAACATGAGAAAAGAGGATGGAAAATCTACCTCAAGACTAGAGGCACAGGTATGTGAGTTGCAAGGAAAAACAATCAGGAAAAAAGGGGTTCGATGAGAAACTTGCTGCTCCAACTTCCAGTGGGCAGTCCTCCGTCCCAGATCTGTCCCAAGGTGCAGAGAGGGAGAGAGACAGACTTAGCTGAGCAAAAAAGACATCCACCTCTTCAATAGCACAGAACCTATGTGCCTCTTTCACAGGGCTGCATACAGATAGGATGTAGCCCATGGTAAATAAAAACTGCTTGCATCTGTTTATGTTGAAACATGGTCTCAAAATATTTCAAAAAGAATAAGCAACAAAGGAGACAGTATATTTATATAATATACACCTACCCATGTTTCATTCAATATGTTTAATGTATTGAAAAAAGGTAATTGTACTCCTGGGAACTTCGCCTATCCCCAGAGGTTTCACTTGTAGCAAAGGTCGTGAGCAAGGGAAGATGGAGTCTGAGAAGTGCAGACACCTCTAGCAAAAGCAGTATTTTGTAGCTTTGGTAGATAAAGCTATAAAGTGTTCTTGGAGATTTTTATGTATGCATGAAAACCTCACTTAGAATTCTACTAAGGTTTCTGGGAAGTATAAATACGCAGGTGGTGCATGTGAAATATGCAAGTCCTGTTCAACCTGTTTAGCTGAAAGAAATTGCAAGTTAAAATAAAAAAAATATATATATATATATACACACATTTATATTTTGTAAACGGTCGTTAATGAAGAGTTAATAATTGAACTGTAGGGTGGGTTTTTTTGCTTGTTTGTTTGGTTTTTGTTTTTTTTTTTGTTTGTTTGTTTGTTTTTTCTCAGAAAGAAGTGTTATGAGGGACCTTGACTCACTGAACTTCTGTCTGGTAACTAGTCTCTGTCTCATGTAAGATTTTAACCTTGTATGGAAGCTACTACTTCTGCAGATGGGGCAGAAGGCGGCAGGACAAGGTCATTATCTTCAGTTAAGGAGACTGCTCTTAGGCTGACAGGCCCTTCAGTTATGGGCCAAAGGGCGATGTGTTTTAACAAAGCAGCTGGTACAGTTCTCATCATGGATTTAGTCTAGGTGGCTTCCAAAACTGGCATTCAAGTTCCAGTGCAGTGGATTAGTTCCCAGAGAAATTTTTTTCCTATAAGCTCCTGTGTTGTGCTCTTCTTAAGTTTCAGACGTTGTTAGTGGCTGAAGCTTTCTAAATATTTACGGACAGTTACGCTTCTGTTCAGTGACCTCTAATTACTTTCTGTTTTATGATATCTGTATCTAAACAGCTTAAAAGCTTTTGATGTGCAGTTTCACAGGCCTAGAATTTTGAAAGTTTTCCAGAGAAGGATATTTATAAGGTGTCTTTTGATCTGCATTCATTGAGATGTTCACATGACATTCTGCATGCAGGTACGTTTAGTGTGCTTATGAAGTCCTCTTGCTTCCATATGCTCTCCATACTGAAATCTAGACTTCAGATTATTCTGACTCCGTAAGTAATACATTTTGTAATCCTCACATGCATTCTCAAAGTATGTCCTATTCTGTCACATTATATTATACAAAAGCTATTCTTCCTAATTTTGTAAGTCTTAACATAATGATATTTAACTTTGATTTTATTTATATTTTTTTTTAACATCATGGCCTGTATTGTCACTCTCCAGAAGTGATGAGGTATTGTATGTGGGATTTTTCTTAGTGAGAAATTGTTTTCTAAGGATTCTTTTACGGAAGAAGCATTTCGTGGTGTTTAACACTAACATAGTTTTCAGTGAAAGAACTCGAAAGTGGTACAATACTCTGTTAATTTTGAATAAACTCTTATGAATATAGTGTTACTTATTACTAAAGGAAGACATTGTAGATCACCTACATACTTCAGCAGCAAGGACGCTTGAATCTTAGATCGCCTGTGCCCCTGGAAACCCCCGCAGGTTGTTGCAGCGTTGCAGATGCCCAGCAGCAGGTAGGTGGGTGATGATTACTTGTCATCGATGGAGAAGGATCGGAACTGACCGGCGTGGGGATCCATGGGATCTGCTGGTGACGGTGACGTGAGGGCCGTGGCGCAGGAGAACTGTGATGTCACGGCCCTGGGGAGGTTCCACCCAGGGAGCCCCAGCCTCGGTGGGGAGGCTGCGACAGGAGGGGGCCCTTGAGCAAGCAAGTACCGGGGCTGGGGGCGCAGGGAGCGGGGCATGTCCTGCGAATGTCCCAGGCTGAGACGTAGATGCCTCCTGTGTCTCATCACGGGGGCGTTTGGGTTTGGTCTGCCCTAAGGGGATGTGTGTTGGCACAGTTTTAAATGACCACGATGGTTTCCTTGCTGTAGGGTCAGACCGTGCTGCCCAAAGGGCCATGCAGTAGTGGGGTGAATGATTTGGATGCTGCACATGGTAACTGCCCCCGTTACATTTAAGGAGCGTTTGGGAGGTGTTGGAGAGGGGCTGTTGGTGGTGTGGCACAAGATGAGGCACTGCAGTCCCGTTGGACACCTCACACTGGGATGGGGTAGAAGATGCTCAACTTACCCATCTCCTCATTGCAGATGAGAACCTGTAAGGCACCTTCCAACGGGAGAAGATGACCGAACTATCTGTTCCAGAGAGCCTTCACACCTTACTCGAGGGTGTGACCGCAGCAGTCATAAAAAACAAACCAGTAGACACTGCAGAGTTTGTAGCTCTCTATTTCCAAGACTTCATTGCCTTTCATAGAGGTTTGTTCCTACCAATCCTTATCTGAAAAGGACGAGCTGTTCGGGTGTTAACTACAGTTTAATTTGTGCTTCTATTTTCAGACAATCTAAATTTGAACTTAGAGGAAGTGGTGAAAAAATTTCATTTCAAGTACGGTAAGATGATTGTTGCTTATTCTTTTTGAAATATTTTGAGACCATGTTCCAACATAAACAGATGCAAGCAGTTTTCACTTACTGTGGGCTACATCCTATCTGTATGCAGCCCTGTGAAAGAGGCACACAGGCTCTGTGCTATTGAAGAGGTGGACATCTTCAGAAAGCACTTCCTTCATTCAGTGTGGGAAGAGCTAGTCCCCTGGGGTGCTCTGCTTTGTGCTCAAGCATAGGAGACAGCTAGGGTACTTTGGGGCATTTTAAGATATTGAAGTAGGATTTATCACATGCTAAGCAGATAGCGACTTTACAAATTGTACCTATTCTTTGCAAATAGATACTGTTTGTTTATAAAATAATAATAATAATAATAATTCTGCATGTTGCTGATTCCTTTGGGAAGTGCTGGGCATTCTCAGCTGCTCCCTGGGTTTGGCTGTAAGGGCTGGAGTAGATGGTGCCACCTGGAGGGTTGTGTGGGAGCGGTGATGGGTGCATTTTCTAGCCTGCAGCCTGTTGGTATCCATCCTACTGGGTTGGGTCTCTGTTGTCTGCTTACCAAAAATACCAGCGTGCTCAAATATCCCATCACTTGGGGCTATGGGACACACAGGCTCTTTAGGGATCCTGGGCAGAATGAGAATGCTTCTAAGTTGTAGCTGTGATTAAAGCTTTATTATTTCACAGAATGTTGTAATTAGCCTAGCACTGGATTTTTCTAATCGGAATCACCGTAGCACAGAATTTTATAAGTAGCATGGCTTATGGTTACTTACCGCTTGTTCTGAGCACCTGGAGCCTCTGCAGATTGGGTCAAATCTTAATACATAGTATGCAATGCAACAATGATAATCGAGGCTCAAAATGCACGTAAAGGAGTACGAGTCACTCGCTCAGTCCTTGGAGGAAACAGTCAGTAGTGGGAGCATTCCTCACCACCAGGGGGGTTCATTGGTTTTGCTGTCCAGCAGCAGTTCTGGTCCAAGCCCTACTTAGGACTTACAGCTGCATGATTTTCTAGGCAGTGCTCTGTGTGCTGTTACGCTTCCCTGTTTGGTGATGGGACCAACACGATGCTGGCAGGGAGGGGAAAGTTGGCCCAGTGTCCAGGGCCTTGAAGATAGGTGAGGAGGGAAGATGTCTGCCTGGTACCCAGGACCTTCAAGGCTGGGGATGATGGGGAGAAGGGCTGGGTTGATACATGACCAGCTTGCTTACATGTAATGGTTGTTTGCCTTCTAAAATGGCATTAGTTTTGCTAACCATATTACCAGAAATCAGGGGATACGGCTCGTTATCCCCATTGCTGAGAGTCCACCTTAGCTAGCTTCTGAGTAACCCTGCAACTAGCCAGCACTGGAGACAGTCTTGGTCTATAGATTGAGAGTTATGAATTGAGGAAATTACAGCAGTGATGAGATGTCTCAGCTATGAAAGGAAAGTGCTATTATCTTGTTCCTAGCTTAGGATGTCCCCTAAAACAAAACTTAGAACCACTGACTTCAGAAGTAGTTTTCTTGTAAAAATGTCTGGTGGAGATTGCAGTGTGACTTAAAATATCAATGAAAGCTGAATTTTGGTGCATTTGCAAATGTTGCATTAATTGTATCACACAGCTGTTTTTGCATAATGTCACATGAAAAAAAATTGTCTGAATACCTGTCAGTGATTCGCTTATGTGACTGTACACTGACCCCAACATCATCACCACACTCCAATACTCTTCGCTCAGAGGGTGGTGAGGCCCTGGCACAGGCTGCCCAGAGAAGCTGTGGATGCCCCATCCTTGGAGGTGTTCAAGACCAGGCTGGATGGGGTCTTGGGTTAACCTGGTCTGGTGGGAGGTGTCCCTGCCCATGGCAGGGGGCTGGAACGAGGCGATCCTTGAGGTCCCTTCCACCCCAAGCCATTCTGTGCATCCAAGCCAGCCTTGCCCTTCGTCCCTTATAGAGCACTTAGTTCCTCTTTTCCTCTGTTGCCTGCTCCCTACCATGTAGTCATCTAACATCCCTAGTGTAATGCAAGGGATGATCAGAGGAATTCTGTAACAAGCTCAAGCAAGGTTTCCTCTGGAGTTTCCCTCTATGTTGTGAGCATAGTTTTGGGCCTGTTTGTATGCTAGCAGGTAGCTAGTTAGCTTCTGTATCTGCTGGGGAGCCTGTCTTTTCTGTAGCGCTCTGATACCAAGAGTGGGGCTGTGTTGGCTTGGGGACAGCAGAATAATGTTTTGAGAGAGGATTTCTCAGTCATTCTTTGAGTCGTTTCATTTCTGACCTCATCCAGTCATGACTTTAGGAAACAGCTCAATGCTAAGCTGTGATGACACGTCAAAGATTCACTGATTTTTTTACCCTGTGCTCCATCTGCAACTGTACCAGTCTTACACATTGGCTAATGCTCACTGAACATGGCAGCCAACAGATCTTGCTCATGTTTTTAATCAGTGTTGAGGGGTTTATGAACCAGGCGGTGGAACACTCTTTTGATCCCATGAGTACTCTTATGTGTTCCTCCCTAGATAGCTAATTGCTCAGCTGTTTTTCACTCTGTATCTAAAATCTGTTCATGGCTTATCTTCCGCATTTCAGTATGTGTTAAGTCAAGCAATCAAGATTCTTCAGGGAATTCAAATGTCACTGTCTGTGCATCTAAAAGAATTTGTGTGGATCCAAAGTGTTCTCAGGCATTGCAAAGGTGAACTGTAGCCTTCTAGCTGGCTTATTTAATATGCTTAACATTAAAAATCTATTTTTTTCTCTTTTTTTTTTTTTTAGTGGTGTTTGTGGACAGTAGATGAGAATGTAGCCATCGCTGTAGGATCAGGAATACAGTTAAGGATTCCTTGCTTCTGAAGTTGTGCTACTGCCTTCTGAAATTTCTTTCCTCTTACTGATAGCCAAGCAACCTCCCCCCCCCCAAAAAAAAAAAATTACACATCTCTGCAGCCTAGGAAGCCTCATAATTATGCAGTACAACATCTAATTGGGTTGACACTGAAATCACTCTTTGTTAACATGGAAACATTTGCTAATCTATTGCCATTATGTGCTTTTTACTTTGCAGAAAATCCAACTGGGGAACTAGAAAGGAAGGCATCAGAACACAGAGACATATCAATTTCTGGTGAGCCGCAGAAGAAGGAAGTTTCTACTGATACAGAGGAAGATCAACTTCTTGAAGACATCGCTATCGAGTATAGCTCCAAAGTAATCCAGTGCCCGTCAGCTGCCAGCTCTGTTGCAGAAAACAAACCCTCCACTGGACCTGACGGAGCTTCATCCCCTGAGGGCCCTGAACTTGCTTATGTGCCTGCCGATCCCGAGCAGCTCGCTACCCATATCCTAGGTAATACAGATTCTGCTTATTCTGTGAGGGATGTGGCAACCAGCGTGCAGACTCTTAATGAAGACTCTCAAGCCTCAGAGACTTCGTTTACACTAGTAGACGATGATGAAGAAGACGATGCTGCTGCCTTGGCAGCTGGGGCTTCTGTCGAGGCTGTTAGGTCACAACCAGGAGTGCAATGTTACTCCCCCGTGGCTGGAGAACCAGGGCCCTCAGACAGCCAGGCTGATGTCTCAGCAAATTATGCAGAACAAGTTTCATCATCCCTTTTGCAGGAAGACCCTTTTCTTCCACCACCACCACCACCACCATCACTTTCTTCCCAATGGCAGTTGCAGGTTGCACCTCCCAGCAGCGCAGCTGAGGCTATCTCAACTGCTGAGGGTTGGGATAAGCCGACGGTGGATGCAGAGGTTCCACCTTTCACAGAGCAGTTCCCAGAGAAAATAATCATTCCCTTTATAGAACAAACAGCTTATCTGTTAAAGATCGGTGTAGGCCAGGTCTCATGTGCTAAGACCTTAGGTCCACCTGCTGCTGCTGCAGTGTGCCAGCCTGAGGGAGTGGAATCCGCAGCACACATGGAGTCAGCTGAGCAAGTTTATGTCATGTCAGGTAAGAAAGGTCCTTGTGTCATCTTCCTGTTCCAGCGGCCAGCCCTACTAACTTCATCAGTGGTTATTGAATGGAAAACCACCTACATCAGCGCAGCGGAGTGGCAGTGACTTTTCAGAAGCTACTGTACCAGCACTGCTTGGCCACAGCGCATGTTAGATCTCTGCGATCTGTTGCAAGAAGTGTGGCTAGCTCTGGGCAAGGACTGCTGCTTTCCTGTGGATAAATGCAGATGAGGGCAAAGGGAAGGTAGCCCTTGATCCCAAACGGTCTTGCTCAAAACAAGCCATACTTGCTGAAGCAGGTAGGAGAGGCCTAAGATGTGCCCTGTGGCTGAAGATGTGACTGGTAAGAGCTCCTCTTCTTCAAAGATCTCACATTCCAGCATTGATGTATGAGGTTTTCCATTTAAAAACAAATGGTGGTGGTTGCCTGTGCTGTCTTGGTGAAACTGGTGAGTTTCTGCAGCTGCGCTGGGTGGGCTGAGCACTGGTCATCAGTTCTGCAAACATGAAGAGAGCTGGTGCTCCGTTTCTTGGTGAAGCCCTCATCACCATCTCTTCCATGTGGTGATAAGTGCCTGGCTCATCCCTCGCCCAGCTGGAAAAACCCTCCAGGGTGGAGCTCCCCTGCCCCAGGTCTCCCAGGTTCTGCAGAATCTGTCCAAGCCTTATCCCAGGTGCTAGGAGAAGTAACACAGTTGTGAGGTCTCAGCAAAGCATGGTGTAGAGGAGAGCTGAACTTGAGCAGATCTCTAAATTAACAATGTTGCCTCTTAAGACATGGTTTTTGGAGAGTTTGGCAAGCCTTAGTTTCAGAAGTGCTGGTCAAATGGCTGAGTTCTCACATGCTCACTCAGGAGAGCCTCTGACCATGAGCAGTTCCACTTCCCCAGGCTGCAGGTGTCCGTCAGCTGTGTTTCAAACTGCACCTGCTATCCCAGCTCTCTCCTCCACCATGCTTGCTTTTACGAAGCGTAGGTCTGTTTGTCTTAAACGTAAGGACTTAGACTGTGACTGGAATTCACTGCTCCTGACACCAGCCCTCTTACGTTTTTGTCTTTGTAGCCATGGCATCAAAGGAAGCCGGACAGCCACCACCATATTCTAATGTGTGGACCCTCTATTGCCTAACTGACTTGAGGCAAGGTCAAAAGCCACCATCCCCCGGTCAGCTGCCACAAGTGTCTGCTCCAATTTATGCGATGCGAGAAGAGAACAAGAGGGGAGACACTCCACCTTTCATTTTAGTGGGCTCTACCATTCAGACCAGGCAGGACTGGCAGTCTCTACCTAGCCACGCTGTCTTCACACAGCAAGGGGCAGGTGCCAGGAGACTCACGGTAGTCCCAGTCCCCGTAGCCAGGCCAGCCGATGAGGAAACAGACAGGCCCTGTGTGCCAGACTTTATCTCGGTTGCCATCCCTCTGGATATGGTGATGTCTGCCAAGCAAGGCTGACCAGCTGGCGACACACACGCAGGTATAAACGCCCATGCAGAGGGTTACAGGGGAGATGCGGGGGTTTGGCTGTTGCTACTGACAAGCGTAATTCAACCCATCTTTAAATACAGTCAGTTTTAAGGCTAGCGATTAAACTACTTGTCATGCATAATAGACACGAGGCCTTGCCCAGCTTGTTACTTTGCAGTTCGTACTACTGCTCTTGCTCTGGTTTTAGCCTACAGTAACCAAGATTTAATCTGATATTTACATACAGCTCAACCCTTTTTAAAAAAATCAGACCGCAAGTGTAGCATGACAGTGTTGCAAAACACTATTTAACTTTAGAGTTCATTTTGGTGACATAATTAAATTGCAGTTCTTGGTATATATACACCTTGTACTGAGTTCATGCTGGTTTTTTAAACAGGTTGAGAAGCGATGCTGGCTGGCCTTCAGGACACGTTCGTAAGGAATGGAATTTAACATATTAAAAACTGCTTTATAAAAATGAACTGCATCCTGTGCATTTTATACTTCTCTAGCCAACCGTGTCCTGGGGTGCATCAAGCACGGCATCGCTAGCAGGTCGAGGGAGGTGATTGTCCCGCTCTACTCTGCGCTGGTGCGGCCTCACCTCGAGTACTGTGTGCAGTTCTGGGCACCACAGTATAAAAAGGACATGAAACTGTTGGAGAGTGTCCAGAGGAGGGCTACGAAGATGGTGAAAGGCCTGGAGGGGAAGACGTACGAGGAACGGCTGAGGGCACTGGGCCTGTTCAGCCTGGAGAAGAGGAGGCTGAGGGGAGACCTCATTGCAGTCTACAACTTCCTCGTAAGGGGGTGTCGAGAGGCAGGAGACCTTTTCTCCATTAACACCAGCGACAGGACCCGCGGGAACGGAGTTAAGCTGAGGCAGGGGAAGTTTAGGCTGGACATCAGGAAGGGGTTCTTCACAGAGAGAGTGGTTGCACACTGGAACAGGCTCCCCAGGGAAGTGGTCACTGCACCGAGCCTGACTGAATTTAAGAAGAGATTGGACTGTGCACTTAGTCACATGGTCTGAACTTGGGTAGACCTGTGCGGTGTCAAGAGTTGGACTTGATGATCCTTAAGGGTCCCTTCCAACTCAGGATATTCTATGATTCTATGATTCTATGACATACCCAGTGTAACTTCCAGCATGCACTATGAAAATGCAGTATTACAATATGACCAGAGACATCGGCTACCACTGTTGTGTTGCCGAGTGCTCCAGCTCCTTCACTGTGCTAACGGTGTATGCATAAGCTCAAACTACACAGAAATTATATAGAGCTTAAGTTAGTTCAGTGTATAGTGTAAAAAAGAAAACAGGAACTGTAGTTGTAGCTTGTACTGCTGGGGTTATACTCACGTGAAAGGCTGCCAAGAGAACGCATTTCCCCTTATCTATGCAAACGTCACTGCATCACTGCACTGCCTGGGTAATTCTAGTAGTGCACAGTAAAAATAGAAAGTATCTCATTGCCTTCAGTACAGTTTTGCTGGTCCAGCTTCCAGGCAGCAGGCTCCGCAGCCTCACTGCAGTTCAGGAAGAAGGGACTGCATTCCCCAGCCATCCCCAGCTCCCATAAGCAGAAAAGAGGGCAGTGGAGCCCACTACCCACTCCACTGCAGCAGCTTTTGCAGTAGGCCTGCTCTGAAATGCCCAGCGCTGTTAGACAACACTCTAGACCATATGCAAGAAGTTTTGAAGCCTTTATTTAGTAGCAATTAAATTATTTGATTAACACTAACCTCCAGACAGCAGTTAAAATATTGTACAAAGAGCAGCTTGCCCTCTAGAAGCTCTGTACACAGTTCAATATAAACTTACATTCTAAGATTGAATGCACCCCACTGAAAAGGGGTAAAGCAGCTGTGCACAGGAGGCCTCACCGAGGTGCCTTACTACCTCTGAAATGCACAAGACTTCCTCCCAGGGAATTTGCACAGTACAGACACAGTTCCTGTCCCCCACCACCGTGTCCCGCTGGGTCCTGGGCTGGATCAGTTCTTGCCTTTTTGCAGTGGTGCTGGGCACCAGAACTTCTAGTGCATTAAACAGATTCTTTTTAAACCTGTTACTAGTGTGCAGTTCGAATCAGATCTGTAGGTGTTTAAATGGCTCTTAATTCCATAAACCATAAGGTTGGTAGCAAAACAGGAGAGCAAAATTCAAAACACACTGCACAAAACATTGAATAAATACCTCTGATTAATGTTACCAGCTTAAACAACTGCGTGAATGCTCCAGAAATGGGCACGCTTCTGGAATCTGGCCAGAGCTCAGGATTCAAGGGAGTTGCTTTAGTAAAAGAAAAGTCACTTTATGAAAAATTACATCTTTACAAGAGTGACACACCCTTCTTTGCTTTAAGAACGGACTATTGCAATTACTTTGTGTGCTTTTAAACATTCTCATGTCACAATAAATAAAACCAGTTTTACTTGTGCCGACTTTAGCTATGAAAGAAAGTATTCACAGAACAGCCGAGGGTGTTCTAGTCCTCATACACCACAACCTAATATAGGTGTATTCAGCAAACGGGGCAGCTCTACACCATGACGACGTACTGGCTTTGTCCGCACGGGACCCACCATCAGCCACAAAAAGTACTCCCTACCTCAGGGACTGCAGGTCATGTACCACCAGCTTTACTGTGGAGACGTATAATATATTCTGTTGGATAACATGTCAGTTTTTTTCAGGAGGTAAGTAAAACGAGGGAAAACATTAAAACAGATTAAGACTTATTTGTGTCTCAGCCACAGGCTTCTTATTGCGTTTTAATAAATATCAGGCAAGTTAAAGTAGTTTCTGTCCCAGTAGTTGCCAGAATAAAGCCAGTCCTGTGTACCGGTGTAGGGGTTGGGGCCTTGGTGGAACCATCTGTAAGGAAACACACAGCACGTTAGGGAAGCTGTTCACGCATTTCTGTGGAAGTTCAGAACTGCTTTGCTGCATCCTCAGTGGTTACTGCTCAAAGTAACTACGGTGAATGCCGGAGCCCTCTGGATTTTAAATTCCTAAGTCAGATTTCCCTATTCCCAACACCACTTTGGTGTCTCCCAGGTGAAGTTGCTAACACTTATTTTGTCACTTGAAGAAGTCAAGACTATCACACAGCAAGGACAGGTCCAGTTATACTTCAAAGCAGTTGTGAACAGTCATTTTGGCATGCAGGAGCACTAACAGTTTTTTCAAGACACATTAAAACACTGCAAGCACCACAGTCCTGGAAACAGAAAAATGTTAGGATCTAGATTTCCCCTTGTGTTTTACGACCTTGTTTTGCAGTGCACTAACTCACAACAAGCGTGTTAACACCCATCAGCATGGACAAAATTCCCCCCAGGGGCTGCGGGGGAAGTCCCGGCCTATCACCGCGTAAGGCCTTGCACCCCAGTGTCAGCGCTGTGGGGCTAACCCCAAAGCCAAGAAAGCTGGTCCCAGCTGCAGGAAACTATGTGCAAGCTTCTGCTGAGCTGGCTGCTGCCAGGCACTCTGGATGTGACACTGCCTTTGTTTCTCTTCTCTCTCCTCCTGCCTCCTCTGGAAGCAAGCTGTGTGTACGTGCCCACAGATGTGCACTTGTGTAGCAGCGTGGGGAGGTGGGGTGACTGTAGAGCTAGGGTGCACTTCACAAGGCCAGACTGCTGGCAAGCAGCCCCCAGTGGCAAGTAGGACCTGTCAGAGCACCACGGTACAGGAGTTTGTCCTCCTCCCTCACACCAACGCTGTATGGCATTACTGAGCACTGCTTACTGCTTGGGCCCAGCTCCATTTTCCGCCTCACAGCAGCAGACCGCACACCACCAGACCTCTAGCAGTTAAAGGTTTTGCTGTGTTCTGCCAAGCCATGTTCACAGTGCAAAGCAGGTTGCTGTAAGCCCTTTCTGTGGTTAATAAGCTCCAAACACCTCAGTGGCCTCAAAAGCCAGTTCGTGCTTTATATGCCTCACTGCAGTGAGTGCCCTTCCTTAAATCACGCGTGTGTCTGGCAGCCCACTTAAACTAAACTCTGCTGTTCAAGGATATCATTGGGTCCCCCAAGCAGAAGTTAAATCAAATTCGGACCAATTATGAGAAACTGACTTTGAAAAGCAAAAGCCTGAAGGCAGCCAGTCCTACAGTGCCACACCACGAAGTGGAGCAGCTTGTAGGCGAGGCTGGCTGGGTCCAGGAGGGTTGAGATGCGTATCAGAAGTAACGCCCTGCTGAGCAGCAGTGGTCCTGCCCTGATTAAATGAAGGAGTCAACAGAAGGCAGAAATAGCTGTCACCCCTTGTGTTGTACGTGGCTCATGACCATAACACCTCCATGCAGGATGCATCAGCTGTTCTGATGTAAAGTGTGTGTGTGTGCACGCGTGTGCCTAGCACGGCACCTAGCACACACACACATTCGCCTCATCCCTCAGAGGAAGGAGCTTCACCCCTTGGTACCTCACTGCTGCATCTGCAGCACTGGAAAAAATCAGGACACCGGAGCATCCTCCAGTGCTGCTGCTGCCAGCATGGGAAGGACAGGGGGACCCAAAGCGATGGGCAGCTAAGTGACAGGGGAAGGAGCAGGATCTGAATCACCAGCAACAAGAACCCCTCTGCTTCAGAACTGAACCAGTCTTTACTCAGGAGTTCAGACTGCTGCTCAGCATGAATCACTTCTTCAGAAACACCAAGGCTCCCCTTCTGAAGTGGATTCAAAATAAACAATCACCTGGCACTTTGGAGAAGTCTCTTAGGAGGGAAGAATCTGCTAGACAAGCTAAGTAATATACCTTTATGGGGCCTGCAAGGTGCAGCAGTTTACATCAATTTACATCATGCCGCAGATGAAGACCTACAGCTGACCTGCTGGGAACAGTTAGGAGAATTTCCCTTCACAGTATGGCTTTTTTCCCCCCAAGCCCAACCCTTTGCATTAAAATGGAAAGGAGCTGTTCCTACATAATTTATGTTCATCCTTTGGAAGCAGCTGTACTTGGCATTCCTACTGAGGAGATCAAATACTAGGGGGAAAAAAAAGGAAACCAAGGAGTTCTTAAAGGATACCAGGCAAGTGGTGAGCAGGTCTAAAGTTCATGCACTGTCTACTTGCACTACAACAGCTGAAGAACCTTGGGAATGGTTTCTGCACTCATTACAGACCTTGTAAAACCACTGCTCTGAATTGTGCTCTGGAAATTCCCCTACTCCTGATATTCAAAGTCCAGGTGCTTTGAGCTATGCCTTAAGGTACTTCAGACACCTGGAAGAACACGGTGTAGTCTCCCTTGCTTTAAAAACATTTGGCAGGAGCTAGAACCAAAGCTTATAAGGCCTCTGAATTCAGGAAAGGAAGAGGGAAGTGTAAGGCTGTCCAGCATTTACTCAGAAGCATTACAAAGATGTTATTTTGCACCATTTTCGGGGCAGACAAACCCAAACACTTCAAGAGAGCAGGCATAAGAAAAAGACAGTTCAGACATAACCAAACCTGGGACTCTGGGATGATGGGTGACTTCGTTTGGAGGA